ATCCTAAGCCCCGTCGACCGTTCGGTCCAATTCAGCATCCAAACTCCGATGCCAAATCTAGAAACCCTAGCCTCAAAATCCTAAAACCCTTAAACCACTCTACCCTCATCATTGGAACCCTGACGCTACCCTCTTACGTTAGCAATACTTCCACAATCAAATGCAATTGCTTTCAGCTATCTGATGATTCCGCGGCCGTTTGCTGCGACATTTTGAATTTTGACATTACAACTATTGGTCGAAAAATTCGAATCCTTGCTTGGAATTTTATTCCTTTAAAACGTGGAAATGGGAGTGAGAAAGGTGGGTATCTGGAAATTGTTAGCTGGGATTTTTTGGAATCTCTTAGTGGGAAAATTTTTTCTTTCTCTAGTTTTAATTCGTTTAGTATTGATACGGGCTCCCCTATGGATCTTAAAAATAATTCAAATGCTAAATATTCGGTTTTTGGTGTGGTAGAGTCCATAAGCCCTGTTTCGATTGTTCCATGTACAGCCTGGGAAAGTAGTACAAGTAATATTAGGGGCTTTCTTGTAAATGTTTTAATTTGTGAGTGCAAGGTTTGTAGTTCAAAAATCTTGGCGTCAGGATTGGATGATTTGAGTGAGAAAAATAGGAAAGATCATTGTTTTATCAAGCCAGTGATTGTATACTTTTGTGGGTTGGCCTCGTCATGGCATCCTGTCATTTCGAGATTTTCTGGGGGCATTACTTTGTTTTCAGGGTTGAAGAAGAAGTTGGTATTTGTAGGGAAAGATCAATCCCACTTAATGTATGTGACAACAGACAAAGCATCATTGCATGTTCCTAAATTATTGAAGAAATGGAGTTCATTTCAGAATACTGATATAAGAGGGAAGGGTGAATTTGGTAGCTATTCGGGGATTGTTACGGGCGTTTACATGCACGGTATGGTTGTTGAGCTGGATCAAAAGGTGATGCTATTGCTAACGGACCAGCAGCTCACTGTGCCACACAGTCTCAGAGTTGGTTCTGTTGTATGTAAATTAACTTTTCTGCTTCTATTACTTCATGTTGAATACTTGCTATATTTTCTTGTGGAAGAGTGGACATCAGTATTTCAAGGGAAAAAAAGTCAAAAAAGCTTGTTGTGTATTATGTCTCTTAACGGATTGTATTTTCTAGGTATCTCTGAAGAAAGTCCATTTTGTGAATCCTAAATTTCCTTGGGCAAAGATGTTCATACTTGGCGCTTGCTCTAAGACAAGCATTTGTGTAGAGTCATTCTCCCCACTAGAAACTGGGTCAGAGTTTTTAATCCCATTTTAATGCTTGGCAATTGTAAATCCGTGAGTGTCCTTGTATTCACACGTGGGATATTATATACTGCAGATGCCACTTGAAATCATGCTCCCAGAGCCTCCTTCAAAAGTTCATAGACTCCTTGTCTTTTTTAGCCAGACTATGGTAGGAAAGAATCTGAGAACATCTAATTCACTTTTCTTGTTTCCTGATTGACTCACACGTTTTCATTATTTTGCCTTAGGGTTTTACTTGTCATCTCTTGTTTTAGGAAAAAGTTTGCTGGCATTTTATCTGAGAAGGATATCATAGGGTCTAAACATGTAAGCCTGTTTACATTCACATTGTTAATTAAATTATTTTATCGTTTGCCTTCCTTTATCTGTTTACTTTATAAATTATTCTAAGCTGATATCCTATCACAAGGTGTTTCCAGAAGCTAGGATTGGCTCAAAGATATACTAATTCATATTTGCCACTATCAGCATTTCAACTTCGGGTAAATTTGCCTATATGATCCCAGTTAAGAAGAAATTGCAGTATTTTTTTCACTCTTGTTGTCACCTTCACTTATTAACTTCCTATTTTACAGCATGGAGTTTTTGTAGAATTCTGCAAGCATGACTGTTGTTCTTGTGCTAAGGAAGCAAAGTACAGGTCCTTAAAACTGGTGTGGCTACTTGAGCTCTATCTATTACCTGAGTCATATCAAAAGTCTACCAGTGTATTTTCTAGTTGAAGATCTTCAACAATTAATAAATATTTTATTTCGATAATGTGATCTTTAGGTCCCACCAATTTCTAGTTTAATCAGTTCTTTTGAGGCAACATGGAAGAAGATGCTCTATGACAGGAAAAATTGTTCAGGTTTTGTGTCAAACACCAATCAGAAAAATTCTATATCCTGTGGTGGGAGTTTTTATGCACAGTCGGTGAGAAGAATCTTGCGCGCTGAAGAAATCGGTGTTATTATGCTCGGCATTTTAAAGGTCTCAATCAATTGCAATTTTGTTCGTCTGAAATTGCTTTGTGCTCTTTCTTTACATGGCATATGACCTTTGATGCGTGGAAAGTTGACTTACAAT